GTTTGTATATGCATTTTTTTGTGGTCAGCCCTTCTGGCTGGTCTTCTATTGATTTGTTCCTTTGTCTTTGTACATATGTGTGCTTTGTACTTTTGTTCTGTTATATTTGTTCTGTTTTTCTTGTACGTTATACGCATGCTTGCATGTAAAAATAAAAATAAAAAAAAAAAAAATTGCCTCGCAATCACCTCACTGAATACTGGACTTCGATGTCCTACCAGATAACCAGGAGAATATATGTGTATCCAAGTACTCGTCTACAGCCGAGTTCCCCCACGACAATGACAAATCACACTAACAAACACAGTGATTTATGTTACTATCCGGTTGCAATGACAATACTGCAGAACCTAGCAAAATAACATACAGGACATGAACCCTCTAGAACACTGCCCCACAATGGCTTTACTGGACTGCAATCACATACGGTGATTGCTCAACACTAGCAACAATCACCATCAAATAACAACCCCTTTTTGCAATAACACACACGGCAAGTACTCTAATTTCCAAATATTAGAACCCTGCACACACTTACTTCTGCAAATGACCCCTAGAACATAGGTCACTATATTGCAATCACCACACAGTAAATAACACTAACATTGGGCACCGTGACACTATGATTATATATATATATATATATATATAATTACTGCTGACACATGTAGCCTACAGCTATCAAACGTTATTGGGAACACTAAGGAGAATCTCGCACTCCTTAAATCACATGGGTGAGTGATTTATCAGTCACGCATGTCGATAAACACTCGAGAGTTACGTTACTCGACAGAGCGGGGGCGGTCTCTCTAGACGGCCTCGTCACTCACCAAAACTCACCAAAATTTACGTTAATTAATACTGCAACCACAATACATATTTATATAAATCACACTTGTCACGGCCCTGGGAACACTACAAGAAATTAAAGCCACACTGTGGCACACTCCACAATAATCATTGCCAGGAACCACTGGCGTTACACATACCTGAGCGCTCAGTGTTGGAATTCCACACCTGCAAGACCACACATGGAAATATCACTCCGTCCCTCGGACGATCAAAAATGATTACCACAATGAAATAATTAATTATTACATGGACATCCTCTCAGTCCTTGGCTAATCTATGTATCCTCTGTTCCCCGTGTGTACCCACACACGCACACACACTGTACGTCTGTATACACCAGACTTGAGTCCCTCTGGACTGACAAGATGACAACACAGGTGATTAATCTCCTCGCCCACAATTCACTCCACCTGAACAGGTGCTGCGTGACAATGTGACGGAACACTTGACCTCGAATTCAAGCTTTAGAGACTACTAATCACCAAAAATACACACATAGGTACTTACTCATTCACACTGCCGGCTTTACACAATTCCCATACATCAGGCACCCCGCTATAGGTGGCTGGCTCGCTCCGGGTGGCGTAAGCGGCGGTAGTTCCTGACCGTAGTACTTATACGGAAAATTGGCGCACACTCGAACCCCTCCCACTCAACACGGCTGAGTTCGCACCCTCGACTCCCCGGTGAAGTGAAGCGTTCATACCCAGGTGACGCGCACGATAGCGTCTCACACAAACACGGGAAATTGCCTTAACACTGACACGAATTTCCCCGTTCCCATCGACTGCTACAGAGCACTAGCAAGTCTAATCATCACTGGTATGGGATCTACGAGTCTGTTGCTGCTCGTATGCACATTCCCCCACGATCCCAGATCACTGTACCTCTACCCCCTGCATACAATAATGTCTTAAACCCCTCCAAGCGACGACTTCGGCCGGATTCTGTGACGACCGATGTCGTAGGTGAAGCAGGAAGCATCAGCAAGTGAGTAGTCCAGCCACCACGACGCCCTATACATCAATTTGGCCGAATTGAGTACAGGAACGTCTTGACAAGGTGGCGGCTGAGTTCAGAATGATGCTCACACCGGCCCTTCCCGCGTCCTTCTCGAAATAACCAATGAGAGGAAGGCATACAGCGGCCTACCCCTCTCATCCAATCAGCGACGGTGTAGCATAGCCCCTAGGGCAGCTCCAAGATGGCCGACCAACATGGCGGCTCAAGATGTTTACTAAGATGGCGGCTGGTTTCCATGACAACCACTCAAGTGGGCAGCCAGCGCGGGGGCCCCACACCCACGCCGGCGGCCTAGCTGTTTCCCGCGCAAAGCTGAGTCTGGCCTCATGCCATACAATGAGATGATGCTATCAGCTCTAGCACTGTCCACAGACATGCCACCCCGGCCAGGGTAACATTTATGGACTGCTGATGACTGGGGCTCTCACGTGAGCCCAAACACTAGAGGTTTCGGTTGCTGGTACAAACTTAAGTCCGCCCACTTAACAAGTGCACTTAACAAGTGTACTGGCTTCCACAGGCATAAGAGCACTATTGTAAGTGAGCTGGTGAACCACCTCCTCACACCTGGTTAGCTATTCCCTCACTTACCTCTGGAATTTCTCCCTGCTCTAAGGTGAAGACCTCCTAGAATTTCTTATTCAATTCCTCACACACTTCCTTGTCATTTGTAGTGAATCCTTCCGCCCCTATCCTTAATTTCATAACCTGTTCCTTTACTGTTGTTTTTCTCCTAATGTGGTTATGCAACAATTAAGGCTGAGTCTTTGCCTTGCTTGCGATGTCATTTTCGTATTGTCTTTCTGCCTCTCTTCTCATCCTGACATATTCATTCCTGGCATTCTGGTATCTTTCTCCGTTTTCAGGAGTCCTGTTATTCCTATAGTTTCTCCATGCCCTTTTACTTTGCTGCTTAGCTAGCCTACATCTCTGATTAAACCATGGGTTTCTCATCTTCATTTTACTGTTTTCCTTTTGGACTGGGACAAACTTGTTTGCTGCGGCCTTGCACTTCTGCCTGATGTAGTCCATCATGTCTTGGGCCGTCCTTCCCCTGAGCTGTTTCCCATGCTATATCTGTTAGGAATTTTCTTATCTCCTCATAGTTTCCCTTTCGGTATGCTATCCTTTGGTTTACGGTATCCCTCCTCGAGTTCAATAAGCCTTCTTCAATCAGGTACTCAAACACCACTGCACTGTGGTCGCTCATTCCTACTGGGGCCTCAAAACCGATTTCTCTTATGTCGGAATCGTTCAGAGTGAAGACTAGGTCGAGTCTCGCTGGTTCGTCATTTCCTATCATCATTGTGGGTTCTCTGACATGCTGGGTTAAAAAGTTTCTAGTCACCACCTCCAATAGTTTGGCTCTCCACGTATCCTCGCCTCCATGCGGTTCCTTGTTCTCCCAGTCAATCCTTCCGTGAGTTGAATTCCCTATGATGAGCAGGTGAGATCTATTTCTACAGGCAGAAGAGGCTGCTAAGCTGGGGTAGAGGCCTAGGCCTGCCTGTAGAGGCTGCTACAGGCAGAGAAGAGGCTTGTTGTGTGTGTGTGTGTGTGCGTTTACTTGTTACCTAATTAGATAAATTAATTACCTAAGTGGTAATTAATCGGCTTGGTGTTTACTATCCTCTTTTCTTTCTGTTTTCCTTCATATTTTGTGTTAGGAATTTCCTTTCTATAATTTCCACTAAGATTGCTCCCTATGATTCTTCCCTTCAATGTGGATTTATTTATTCCTAATCGATTTCTCCGTGATTGAGGTCCCTCGTGATCAACAGTTTCGCTCTCCTTCTGTGAGCTGTTGTTGCTACCCTCTACAGTTCATCTATACATGTATTTTTTCCTCTTAACATCATAATCCTTTCTGGGCTTTGTACTGTTTGGTGAGGGATTGTAAATTATCAAGATCTCAGTCCTCTTCCCATATGCTGTCAGCATCCCAAGTTTGGAGCTTGTGTTTCCATTAGTCCTGCAATTCTCTAGTTCCTCAAATTTCCATCTCAACTTTATGAGGAGTGCAACTTTCCCTCCCTGTCTCTGTGTCTTTTCTTTCCTTATCACTTGGTATCCCTCTGGGAAGATTGCATCTGAGATCATATGATATATTTTAGTTTCTATTATGTCAGTTAAGTCTGGATCTGCTTCACTAACCCTTTCTTTTACTTCCTCTCCTTTATTGGATAACCCATCAGCATTGGTGTACCAAACCTTGAGATTCTTCTTAGAAATTCTAAGGTTTTACTTTAATTACCAGAGTTCATGTAACTCATCTGCCTACATATCTCCATCGATGTGTGATGCAGTTGAGACATGGATGCAGTCCTATCTTCAATAAGTGGTTGTGAGGTGGGAAGTGCCCGGGGAGTGAGGATGGAGATGAGAGGTAGAGGGTATCTGGGAGCGAGGGATCTGGGGGAGGGGGCAGATGGGGTTTGGGCCATTAGGGGGACCAGGCGGGCAAATTGGGTCTGGGCTGCTAGGGCTGTCTGAAGGGCATAGTGGGTCTGAAAGGTATGGAGGGTCTGAGAGGCATAGGGGGGCTGAGAGGTAGAGTGAGGTTGGGAGTCAAAAGACTCTTACTTCGTAAAGTGATAGTTTGTCGAAAAGCAAGCTTTATATCACGGGAACGAAGGGTATTAGTGAAATTTTAGAGTTCAGATATGGAGAGAAGGCAGAGCATAGTGGTACTAGTGTTGGAAACAGGTTTGGGATAAAATACATTTAATTTAGCTTGAGTATAGGCACAGATGATCAAAATGTTAGGGATAACCAAAGCGAGAGAAAGTTTTATAAATAAATGAAATTTCAGAATCAAGAAGACAGGGACGAGAACACTTTTTTAACAGTAGAAGGATGGTAGGAAAATACTGAGGTCTTAAGGCCATAAAGCAAAAATGTCATCAACAGAGCAAAGACAGAGAGTGAGACGAGTATCAATAGAGGGAAGAACGGTTTCGAAGAATTCCTTGTAGAGATTGGCAAGAACATGGAGCAGAGAGGATAACCCATAACGACACCCAAAGTTTGAAAGAAGTATTTTCCATTGAGAGAGGAGTTAAGAGTCAACTCACTAGTTGGATCTTTTGTTGTCCTGTGAGTGTATAACAGATGATACTCATTATCCACAGATAAACATGCCTCAGCAAGAACAATGGCTGGGGTGTTGGATGATGTGTTGTCACCAGAGCACCATCCCCGCTGCTCTGTGTTCTTCATCACAGACGCCGCCTCCTCCGACCCATCAACTATCGCTGTAAGCCTGGCCAGCAAGTAACAATAAACTTGCCTGATATTTAATATATAATGTTTTTGAAAATTTTGGGCACCAATGTGACAATTTCAACAGAACGTTCATTATTTATGTTAATTAATTTCTTGCAGTTAATGAAGGTGTTACGGGTCCCGGGAGGTGTGGGCGTCTTTACGGCAGCAGCGGATGTCTTGGATGGTAATGTTACACTCCAGCAGCTTCCTCAGGTGCTTTCTCTGGCTCGCAAGGTTGGTGGCTTTCACGACACTTTATGTCACACTTCACTACTGACAGAGGTCGGTCACTTGCTTTCCGTCACTCTAGTATATTAATGAACTCTACTTAATGCTGATCCTCTCTCATAACGCCTTGAATCACTAACAGGTGACAGTACACGATGGAGAATTTATTCTTGTGTCTCTGAAATGTACATAAGGTAATAACGATACTATATATGATGTGGGGTATTTTCCTAGCAAGCATTTATTTGTTTTTATTCTTGATTACTAGAATTACTTTAATATCTTTTATTATCTTATTACTTTAATAGTGGACTGTATTTATAAGTTTATCCTGCTAGGTGTTTACTTGTACACATAGTTGGGGGTTATATTTACTTATTTTTAGCTTATACCACAATTGGTGGTTATAAATAAACTATAAATATCTACTATCTAATTTATGTTAGTAAAGGTTATAATTATGTTAGTTTAAATATTGTATGGGTCTCAGCCGTGTTAGTTGGGTGAGAGCTGGTCCTCCTGTACATCAGACTTTGTTTTGTCACATGTGGACCGTCTGGTCCTGTTAATGGTGGCTGTTGGGGCAGCCAGAGCATGTAAGGCGTCTGTACATTATCTAGCGGGTGTAACAGTTCTCAGGGATGTCTCATGGATCACAATTTACCTGCCAACAAGTTATATAATAAAAACTGACAATAACATATAAAGTGCAGGTGTGACACATGAAATTTGTATTGTTATAATAATGAGACTGGGCTTACTTTTCTTGGGTGATGCCCCGCTGTTTAACGCCTAACTTATCTTAATAGTTTACTAGTAATAGTAATAATAACCGCCTAACTTTATCTTAATAGGTTATATCTACTTTGAAAGCTGACTCATTCTAGTTTATCTTCTTACATCTGGTCAGTTCGCTTGGTGTTAGGCTTACCATTGCAGTCTTATATAGTCATAATGTAATCTGGGGCTTCCCACAGTGAATGAGTGAAGATATTTTCTCAAAATAGAACATTTATATTTTTGTATATATATTTTTTTTAAATTCTACTCCTTTTATATTAAAATAAAATTTTATAAGATTTAAAAATTTGAAGAAAAAGCTCCGTATATATCTTGACTATGCAGAATTTCATATTAACTAAATTTGGATTATGTCATATCGAGTTGTAAAATTTAGATACAAGTGTTTTCCTATAATGTTTTTCTTTTGTATTTATACAATATATTTTTTTTAGATTTTAAATAAAAACTATATTATTTCAACTACTTTATGGAAAACGTTTTCAGCAATGATGTCATTTGATTGCAATTTGTTTTAATTAATGACTTTTACATAATAAGATTTATCTTTTTATTGGGTAGTGACACCCATAGGCATGTCAAGTCTCTTTATATGGATTTTTTAACAAAACCCAATTTTCATGAGTTTCTATAATGAAAACGTCAGTTGATAGAAGCTGCATTGACTGCAGAAACCCCATTGAACATAAATTTACCTTTACCATCGTATAAAGGTTAAGAGAGTGGAGTAAATTTATGGAAGTTCAATAGAATTTGTGTCTATAATGTAGCATATATTGCTCCAAGTACACAACGCACATAAATGATATCCAAAACAAATACATTAGAAGGAAACTAATTAGTATGTGAGGCCATAAATAATAAAAAGATAATGCAAGCTTCCTTACATTATATCATTACTTCAGTTGGGTAAATCCTTCATCTTTAGCTCAGAGTTGAAAGTAGTTCCACAGCAAAACAACCTGTCTACCTGGAGACAGTCTTATGTTACCACCTCCAGCAGGTAATCAGGCTCATGCCTGATAAAGGAATAATTATTACCCAGGTCTATCACTCCTCACTATATCAAGGGTATGATCCAAAATCCCTGTGATGAAATATTTACTGGCACCATTTGGTTAATAGGAGAGGGACACAAGCAACACATAAAAAATACAACATAATATATTCTTATATATATGACACAAAGTATTTCCAATAGGCTCAATGATCATAGTGTAATATATATAATAATAAGATGGCTAAATCAATGATATCTTGTACTTACAAATAGAACATCTGACCTAAGGTACAAACAAAAGAATTCTTAACTAAGAGCTGTTCTCAGAACCAGACACCACCAACTACTGTCTTGGTGGGCTAGCATCAAGCACTCCCTGGCAACTCTCCAGTCTCCACAAAGCAGATAAATTCTCTAATCAAACACACTACATACAAAAGTAACCACTTCCAAACAGACACAAGCATGTTAATATAATATGTCATATATTCTAATAATATAACTAAAACCATAAGCATTCTTAAATAATTGAAATAACAGATTTACTTCTAAAAGGAGACGATATCTGGCAACACAACACCCGATCAATATTACCCACGCACACAAGTGTATTTCGTGAACCGAACCTGTCCTCTTGAAGGCAAGCTATGACACCCTTAATCACCATACAGTATACATTATACAGTATACATACACCAACAAACAGCACTATCATACATTCTAATGTCACAAAATGCATAATTTATATCATCACTACCAATGTATATATACATCCCTCTCATACACATTCTACCATCTGAGATGGGCGTATGGAATATGTTACCTGTGAGAGCCAGGTAATCATAAACATTACCTGGGTCATAACACCTTATAATACAATTAAATGAATATATTAACATAAGTACAGTATCTTCAACACCAACCAGGAAGAAAACATATTCACTAAATGAAATTATTTAGAACTTCCTTTTAACACTAAATGAGTTTACCCATCTACAAACCCTCTAGACATTTAAATAATCAAATTACTTCAAACACCATTCATACAATCGCTAAGTATGATGCTACTCACTCGGTCAACCAAAAAATACATTGTAATGGCTCACCAAGGTAAAATTTAATTAATAGTTTTTTAGTTAAATGATGCTGAAGACATCGCCACATATTCTCCCGGATATGTTCCTGACACCTTAATTATTTCATTTTCTCTTTCTCTCTTTCCTTACTACTAGCACTAAATTGCTTACAATCAAACTGCAGCGAGCTTGTCTCTGAAGCAAGACATAGATATATATTCGTTCTTAATAAGTGGGTTAAAGTCAAAATGTTGCAGATTCTCTCTCACAGTGGACTGCAAGAACATGATGTTGATGCCCTTGTTAAGCTGTAGTAAATAATGACTGTTGAAAATAATCTCAAATATTTTTTAATTAACACATTTAGGAACATTTGCATTTGCACAGCTACCCTAGACGATATGAAGGGGAGTACAGCGTGTCAAAAAAAAAACTAGTTACATGATGCTAAAAATCCCCATCATACAGGATGGTTAGTCAAACAAAGGCATGTGAAAAGCAGTTTGCACTGGCAAACTCTAGGTGCATTATGAGGGTATCATCATGAACACAACAGTGAATAACATAGCAGAGAGAACCCTTAAAAGTGTCAATAGACAAATCTCTGAACAATTTAGAGAAACCAGAATAGTGCAAACAGGAACTAGCAGATCCACTGTTCATTATCAATGAAATTTGTGAAACAAAATATTTGAATAGGGAAAGTAACAATAACAGCAGAGTAATAATCGTTGTTAAGGCTTGAATACTACTTGGCTTCAGGTATCTCTGGCAGTTCGCCTTAAATTGGGATTTGCATGAAGAAAAGTGACAGGGATACGCATTAGAAAATTACATCTTAAACTGAAAAAACTTAATCATTTAGAGATAAATGGGTAACGATAGTATAGTTTGGTTCATTCTCTACACACAATTAAGAATTCTGGTTTCGATTCCAGTACAGGACAAAGGGTTGGGCATATTTCCTTTCACCTAATGAACCTGTTCACCTAGCAGTAAGTAGGTACTCAGGAGTTAGTCAGCTTGTTTTGGAGTTGCCATGTTGTCGTCCACAGCTGCGGCAGGTGTCGTGGTGCGTGACGGTGGTGGTGGGTCACTGTCACATAACGTGTACCGTGTTGTCGTCCACAGCTGCGGCAGGTGTCGTGGTGCGTGACGGTGGTGGTGGGTCACTGTCACATAACGTGTACCGTGTTGTCGTCCACAGCTGCGGCAGGTGTCGTGGTGCGTGACGGTGGTGGTGGGTCACTGTCACATAACGTGTACCGTGTTGTCGTCCACAGCTGCGGCAGGTGTCGTGGTGCGTGACGGTGGTGGTGGTGAGCGACGACCTCACCTTCCTCGCCACCTTCGCCCAGTGGTCCCTCAAGGGCCGCCTCCTGGTGTGGTCGACGAGGCTCCTGGTCGTCACCCGCCTCCCCCTCCACCACCTGCACCACCTCCACACGCTCCTCTCCAACACCAACTCCATGTTGATCATATATGAAGAATCACTAGACAGCATCAGGTACTCTTACTTGCTATATAGTAAATAAATTAATGTATTGGAAAACGTAATGACAAAGTTTAAAATTTGTATTAGCACAGTTCATACTGATAATTGTTAAAATGCAGTGCAAATTGGGTTAAAGAATGCAACTAAACTCCATGTTGATCATATATGTAGACTCGATTATCAGCCTTAGGTACCATTACTTGCTATGCAACACAGAATATAATGTTTTAGAAATTTCTATCAGGACAATCAGTCAGTACAGATTGCAGATACTAAATATTTTATTAAAAAGTAACAGATAGATTTATAGATACTTGTGGGGTTATTTTCTACCTAACTACAATTAATATACAATTAAAAGGTCTAACTACTAACAAGGACTGATAACAGCGAACTTAGCTATCTAAAGTGATAGTAGTCATCCAGTGGCCTCAAGGGAAACTGATGTCTTCATTGTGTAGTGTCTCAGTGTTCCCGATGTGGCTCACTGTCTGGGAGATCCAGTAGGAATAGTTCTGCTTTCAATGTACTAGCTGCTGGATGAAAAATAATCTCATTATCTCTTGGTAAAACTAAAAAAATATGTAAAATGCAGCTATCACTGATAATGGATATTAATTATTTTAGCCTATCCTTTTAATTCTGACATCTTGCCATATATAAATTATACCAGTATTATAAACAATGACAAGATGGATTAATTAATTATTTATTGATGTGAATTTATCCATTGCAAAATGTATACTTAAAATTATCTTTAATCAATTACAATAAATCAAATATTTATTTCTTAAATATAAGTTAATCAAGTTCCTTATGTGGGGAAATCTAGCTCTAGTATATAATAATATTAAATGTTTCGAAGGAACATAATTTATCTTAAAGAATTAGAGAACCAGTGACTTATGGATCTCCTTTACTAAATGCGAAATGAAATCAAATAAATATTAATAAATGGACTGTAAATTTATATTAATTTTAGTGCTATTTCCTTACAGTCTGTTTTTTTTTGGGGGGGGAGGGTGGGGGGATAAATTTATGAAGTTAGCATCATATATTGTTAAATCATTAGAGTCATGAAATATTATATCAATAGAATAATTAAAGGTTCTAACTACAATAATAATACTGAAACAGCTTAGCTGTTAGAGATGATAAAAGAATGTATCCAGCAACTACGTCACGGCAAACTTGTCGGAGTAGGCTACCACTAAGGACACTTGATCGTGCAGTGGATTATCGTCTCTCTTGCCAGTAAATCCTTGCTGAAAGGCGAATTATATATAATTTCTACTCCAATTCATCAATTCATACCATAAATCATGAATATTAACGAGATTGAAGAGTAGAAAGTCCACTCACGTGGGTTATGTTGTTGTTGCAATACGTAACGACAGGACACCTAACAGATCTCATGAAAATTGGCCAATTAAACAAGTTTTAAGTACTTAATCCTGCCGAACGTGGTGTTCGTAAATGGTGGATGCTGTGGTATCGATCTGAAGCTCCTTAGTAGTCGGATGCTATACAATTTGATCGATGATTAACTCTCAGCTCCAGAACACCTGATATGCAGCTGATAATGGCGGCTGATCTCTCCCAAGTCTCCCCTGGCAGACTGCAACCCGTTCTCGTAAATTAAATAAGTCAATATTGACTTATTAAATATGTGCATAGGTGACATACTTAACATAATAGATACCCTTAAAAAGATTCATAGAAAACACCGACCTTACCTAACCTACTTAGTATGTTAAGATAAGCATCTTATTGCTTCGTAATTACAATTATTACCTAACCTATAATAGGTATAGGTTAAGTAATAATTGTAATTACGAAGCAATAAGATGCTTATCTTAAGATACTAACAAGGTTAGGTAAGGTCGGTGTTTTCTATGAATCTTTTTAAGAGTATCTATTATGTTAAGTATGTCACCTATGCACGTAGTTAATAAGTCAATATTGACTTTACGAATTTGCGAGAACGGGTTGCAGACTGGCACATGCGCACTGGCTCCCAATGTTGGAACTCTGGAAATAATCCTTATATTTTATCCAACGTTCCGAGAGGATGGAGACAAGGTTGATGTTAAATTATGTCATATTAACTTGTTTTATATGACAACAGATTATTTCTCGCTTTGCAAATAATTGAAATGGAATGGCGATAAATGGGCGAGTATATTTAGAGTGGAAATTCAGTTCTTCATTTATTTACTGGAACAACTGATTGTAATTGTATGTTTACTGTTGTGAGGGAGGCTTGCTCCTTGCTGTTGTGGTGTCACACTCCTCTTGCATTTTATACTGTTATTTTATATATATCACACACCTATCATTATGAAACTGTGTGAGAAAAATTTAATCAGTTTTATGGTTAGTTTACACCATTGTACAAAAGTCCAAGAATATAAAACGGCTGAAATTAATCAGCTTGTACGTCCACGGTGGTTGTTGTTGTTGTGGATTTATGGGCGACGACAATCGTGAGATTGGATGCGTCCCAGCGTACCCATGAAAGGTTAATCGGGAAGCCTAATGGCGAAATGAATGTCGCTTATCAGTGGAAACTAATGTGCTTCCGGGGAAGTAAACACACAGATGGGCAGATAATTACGGAGCCCCGGGAGTCCCTCAGGGTGACAAGCACCGGCCCCGCCCCACACATGATCTCCTAGGTCTCCCTGAGATGAAATTAATCTCCCATAGGGTATTGATTCGTTTCTCTCATTGTTGGCTTTAATGCAAAAATTATGAGGAGGATTAAGACACAGGAAGATAGTATGAGGCTTCAAGATGACCTAGACAAACTGAATGAATGGTCCAACAAATGGCTACTAAAGTTCAACCCGAGTAAATGTAAGGTAATGAAACTAGATGGTGGACACAGGAGATCAGGCTGGCTAACATCAGAACAGCCTTCAAGAACCTGTGTAAGGAATCATTCAGAACCTTGAATACCACATATGTAAGACCAATCCTGGAGTATGCAGTCTCAGCATGGAGCACGTATCTTGTCAAACACAAGACGAAGCTGGAAAAAGTTCAGAGATATGCCACTAGGCTAGTCCCAGAACTGAGAGGCATGAGTTAAGAGGAAAGGTTGGATGAAATGCACCTCATGTCGCTGGAAGATAGGAGAGATCAAGGAGATATGATCACGAACTACAAAATTCTAAGAGGAATCGACATGATAGATAAAGATAAATTGTTTAACATGGGTGGTATGCATGTAAGTAATTATCAAAAGAAGGCACCAAATTGGGAAGGGCTATGCGGCGCCATCAAAGGTGCCGAATAATAATAGAGCACTAAATATCACTAATGATGCCAATATGAGAACTCAAAACCATAAGGCAAACGATATCAAAAGTATCCAATTCGCCAAGAATTCTATCGAGGGACAAGTAGCCACAAGAGATGATCGGAAAGCAAGACACACTCGTCCTAGAAGTAAGGACAGTCAACAAGGATATGCACGACTATAAGAGGGACAAGACAGTTTGGGCACTAAGGAACACGGTGGTGCTCCATTAAATGTCTGTGAGTTAAGCGTGTATGGCTAATATTCAACCTTGCCAGAGCTGTTTCCCACCATTGGTTACGGTGGAAGGAGAAAGGCCACAGGGACACACTACTCTAAGGAGTACGAAGTTTATTACCAGAAACAAAATACCAACAACCCTTCCAACGAGCAAAGATGGAGGAATGAATAACTGGGTAAATGCCGGAATAAGGAATACCTTTACAGGAGATGGGACAGGTGCAGATAGCTACCTTAGCGGCAGCGTCCGCATGCTCATTTAAAGAGACACCAATATTGCTAGGAACCAAGCAAAACTCCACTGCCTTAAATTTACTGGATATTAGAAACAGTCAATGTTGAATCTCGACTACCACCAGATGGACTGAATTAAAGGACTCCAGAGCCATGAGGACACTGCGAGAATCAGATACAACCACAAAGGAGGATTGACAGAGAGGAAGCAGTAGACGAAGAGCATAGAGAATAGCATCAAATTCTGCCTAGAAAATGCTAGTCTCCGGAGGGAGGCGACACATATAGGTGTGGTTAGGAAAAACAACAGTGTAGCCTACACCGTCTGTAGACTTAGCCCCATCGGTGAAGATGGAAACTGAGTGGGAATGTGAAGAAAAGTGTTGAAGGAAAAGGCGCTTCAGAACCGTAGAAGGGGTAAAAGCTTTAATGATGTGGGTAAGGGATTTACAAAATTTAGGAAGGAGGACTCTCCGTGGGGGCAAGGACGGGACGAAACGAGGTGAAATATTGGTAATACTGACCGAACGAGAATTTTGCAGGCGAAACAATTGGACAGAAAGACGAAGGTGGTGAAGGGGAACAGGAACTACAGAGGGGTAAAAGTCAAAGCACGACACAGGTGAGAATGAGTGTGTTGTAAGGACCGCGCTAGGTAGCGATCACGGCGTTCCTGGAGAGACATGAAGCCAGTGTCAACAAACAAGCTGAGGACCGGAGTCAAACGAAAGGCACCAGAACTGAGGCGTAACCCAGTATGGTGCAAAGCATCAAGACGGCGAAGAGTAGAAGGATACGCAGACGAATAAACAGGGCAACAATAATCAAATTTAGACAGTATCTGCTCCCCAAGAAGAATGGGACAAAACTTTAAGTAGGTTAAGGGCCTTAGGGCATTCATCCCAGAGGTAAGAGATGTGGGGTGACCAAGAAAAACGCGTGGTGTCAAAGATTAACCCCAAAAGCTTAGCGGAATGTTTGTAAACAAGTGGATGACCATAAAGTGAAAAAGAGGGACGAAGAACAACTTGCTTCTGAGTAAAAGTTATAGCACAAAACTTAGAGAACTTGAAGCCATGATTGGTGGCCCAAGATGACACGGCATCAATTGCAATTTGAAACCGCCGTTGAAGGAGAGGCGAATCATCACCTCGACAGCAAAAGGTAAGATCGTCGACATTGCGGAGAAGATGCCAGAAGGAAGAGAGGAAAGAAAACCATTTAGGGTAACCAG